CACACACACACACACACACACACACACACACACACACAATCTGGTACAATGCTGTGCACAGTCATCCTTTGTTACAAAAAATATTTCCGTGGTCTCCTCCCAGTCGGACATGCATGAACCACCTCCCACAGGGAGAAGTCCAGGAGGCATCCTTACCAGATGCCAGAACCACTGCAACTGGCTCCTCTTGATAAGGAGGAGCAACGGCTCCACTCTGAATCTCTCACAGAYAACTGAACTTCTCACYCTACCTCTAAAGCTAGGTTTATAGTTGACGCGTTGTACTGGACGCGAGCAGACGTGCTCCAAGTGTTGCAATCGCACCTTCACCATGCCYGCCCAAAGGGGGTGTCCTGGGGCTTGGTCGTGCACCTCCGAATTTTTGTAGCTCCGCAAAGGCTGCGCACCATTCAAATAGTTTGTTTGTCTGTCAAGCTTTTGCTCTCCTACTTACAACATTTTCACATGTTACTGTCACGTCTTTTTGGAGAATACTACAACAACATAGCGTCAAGTAGAAACACCTACACTGCTGGCGAGGGTGCACGCACCCTGCACAAGTACTCAAAAGCGCGACTATACTCAGCCTTAAGCTTGAATTAGTTGCAATTGTTCAGCACGACAGAATCAAGTCACCACTTACAACCAAAGAGGACCTACAAGAAATATCAAGAGAAATGTTCTGTAAAATCAGTGCCAACATCACATTCCCAACCAAAGGAAGTATACTTCTTGCTGCTTGCATCTGAGATCTTGTTCTTACAGTCATAATTGGGTGGCTGGGGAGGAGCGGTTAGGGGAGTCGTCCTGGAATTGGAAGGTTGCCAGTTCGATACCTGGTCCAGCCATCTGAGTTGTTGTGTCCTTGGGCAGGACACTTCACCCGCCTTGCCTACTGATGGTGGTCAGAGRGTGCCGGTATATGGCAGCCCCACCTCTGTCAGTGTGKCTTACCWTCATCAGTGTGTGAATGTGTGTGTGTGTGACCGGGTGAATGTCTGTAAGTGTAAAGCGCTTTGGGGTCCRGAGGGCCTTAAAAGCGCTCTATAAGTTCAGTCCATTTACCATTTTTACCATAATCCGTACTTCATGAGGTGAAGCATACAGATGACGCCTTCGTCTGCTGGTTTGTTTCCTGCTCGWTCCAGCATCACTTGTGACAAATCACCAGCAGTGCAAAGGAACCATTCTCCTGTTTTTCTAATTTAGAAACATGACCTAAGATTTAGAGGACCCGAGTCGCATCTTGGCTGCAACTCACCGCACCATGGCTTCAAGACATCAAAAGCACCATGTCATCTGTAAAATACAGAGATGAGACCCTTGAGTTTGCAAATGAGACACCCTCTGCTCCACAACGAAATCCTGTTCATGAGCACCAAAAACAGGATCACAGACAGGAGGCGGCCCTGRTAGAGTCCAAAGAGTCTGACTTTGTGCTAATGATACGAACACAACTCTTGTTTTGTTTGGACAGAGACAAGACAGTCCCGTAGAACCTCGAGAAGCTGTCCACAAAGCCCCTCTTTGGAAACATTGCCTACAAAAAGCCAAAACTGAACATCAACATCTCACTGTCAGCCTAAGGTTTGTCCTGCCACTTTCCACTGTTTACATTTCCACCTGGATTTCCCCAGTCCCCTCTCCAAACCTGGTAAACAAGAAACTACAAATAAAACCTTATTACTGACCAAATAACGCCCGAACAAATCTCACCTTGTCTCTCCTCCAGCAGATCTCCTTTGTGTACTCATCTGTTGGAAATAAACACTTACCTTTTAGTCAGTTGATTAGATAAATGAAGTACTTTGAAACCTGACATCATTTTGTTGTAAACCTGGATCCACAAAACACAAGTCTGCCACTCCACTGGTCCACTCATGACCAGGAGAAAACCACTCTGCTCTTCCTGAATCCAAAGTTTGTCAGTCATTAAACCTTTCTGGGAGGCTGACGTCTGATCCCGTGATGGAACATTCTCCAGGATCCCTCACAATATTCTAAAAATATTGCATCTAACTTTATTCTGTGGCTTTTCTTTCTGCAGCTTGTCCRGGAAGCTTCAGCTGCTTTTCATTTATTTTATTTATTTATTTTTTTTAAAACGTCGTTTCTCCGGAGGACTTGTTTTTAGACTTTATTATAAAAAGTGAGCCTCATTGAGCTAGACCCGTTAATATTATATTTGGCTCAGTAAATATATTTTTAATGTTGTGAAAGTAGAAGAGCAACAGTATGTTTTGTTTGCTTTTTCTTCATCTTGGACCCACCTTCCTTTAAGTGTCATTCCTCCCTTTCCTGTTATTTTTTTTCCTTCACCGTAAAAGTCAGTGGTCATGACAGGAAGTCAATAAACCTCATATGTCAGAGAAATGCTCCTGCTGCGGAGGAGGAAAATAAATCTGCTGTATCATGTCTTTGAAAGTTGGTAATGTGTCCTGGGAAGGTACTGGTTTTTGCATAAAGACCACTTTGTATATATATTAAAACCTGATGTTTAGCCTTTAAAATATCCCAAACCGAACCCCAGCAGTTGTCATGATTCTGTTTGAAGATTTTCAGACTAAACTGTAACTTTTTTTTTGTAGCACAGCTTTTGAAGTTTAGGGTAAAAAGACTAAATGTTTTCTGTATTTTACATTCTAAACTCCATATTTTAGAAAAATCAGTTAAATGTCATAAAGTAAAATAAAAAAAAAATAAAAGACAGGTGACTAAAAAGATTTCAATAAAACTTCTTTACAACAACGATGTCATGTTTTTAAAAAAGCACACAAACAGAAAAATATAAAGCCAAACTTTACAAGACATGTATTAAAATTAAAGGACTGGCGTTTCTTAAAGGAATGCATTTTAACACGTACTTTTCAGAGCAATATTTTATGTTGAAGAATGAGAGACCTGCAGATGTTTTGRTCAAACCGTCAAATCTTGAGTTTATATTTATGCACAATGTTGTGCAAAAAGTCTTGAGTCTCTAGTCCTAAAAGTAATACAGTTATAGATGGTTTCTGCTACTTCTGCTAA